TTTTTAGTCTTTCTTTTCATAAATGTTTTTCTGTCACTGCTTCCAAATAATTCCAAATCTTGCATGTTTGCCAAAAGAAGAAACGCCAGAGAATACTGCTCAGATGAGGCTACAGAAGGCTGGGGACTGATTTCCTTTTGAAACGCAGTTAGAGAAATATGCCGTCATGAATTCTGCTGACACGATCACAAAAGCCCGAAGGATTAAGACCTTAAGAACAGTCACGCAGGCAAGATGTGCAAATGGCTTACTAAACTGAGCAAAACTGCTGGCGGGGGTTGGCTCGGCAGCAAAGAGCATCAGTTGCTCTTCCAGGACCCAGGTTCAGTTCCCAGCAGCTACTCTAGTTCCAGGGATCTGACACCCTCCTCTGGCCTCTACAGGCGACAAGCATGTGTGCAGGATCCAAATATTTGCAGACCAAACACTCAAACACATAAAATAAAATGAAACTTTAAAAAAAAAAAAAAAGACTGCTGGTGGGAATACTTGTATTCAGTTATAAAGGATTAAAATTAGTATGGCTAAAATACTGCTAATATTATAAACCACCATTCTTTCGCCCAAGGGACCAAAACTTCCGGAGGAAACCCTAATAAATAGAGAGCAGAGGCAGAAGAGACAGCTCAGAGGGTAAGAGCACTGGCTGCCTTTCCAGAGGACCACGGTTCTGTTCCCAGCACCCACATGGCAACTCATAACCAATTGTAACTCCAGTTCCAGGGAATCCAATGCCTTCTTCTGACCTCCACAGACACTGATGCAGACACACACCCAGGCGAAACACCCATACACCATGAAATTAAAAAAAATAATAATAAAATTTAAGAAAGCGCAACGTATTACTGTTGAGCCATCGAATAAAGCATAACGAGACAGCCACGGAACAACGACAGAAGACTAAGGAGCCAGGGGAAGAAGCCAGCTGGGGCGCCTGTGGCATCGTGCAGGCTGCCTTAGCCACTCTCCAGGGTAACTTCCCAAAGTTAACGTGGGTGGGACACAAAGTCAGGGCTCTTCCACTTCCAAAGCAGAAACAGAGCCCCTTACTCCACTAAGTACAAAGGCTTTGAAAGAAAGGGGACCCTCAGCTGGACGGGAAGACGAGGGCTGGGAAGTGCTTCAGTACTGGAGTGCTTGTCTAGGTGTTCCGAGCCCTGGGGTTTCATCTCCAGCACCCCAGAAAATTGAGCAGGACCCCTAGCACTCTGGTGAAGACAGGAGAATCACGAAGTGCAAGGTCATCCTTAGCTACACAGAGAGTTGCAGGCCAGCAAGGACTTTGTGAGACTGTCTTAAAGAAAAAAAAAGCATCTAGGTTTAGCTAATTTATATTAATAGCTATAGGCCATGGCTGTGTCCTAGATCTTGAGGCAGTTTGATTTTAGTAACTACAGAGCTGTGGGCAGTTTTGGTTCTGCTGAAAACTAAGAATAGGTGGGTCTTTTTTTTTTCTTCTTTTTTTGGTTTTTTCGAGACAGGGTTTCTCTGTGTATCTTTGACAGTCCTGGAACTCACTCAGTAGAGCAGGCCACCCCAGGCTGGCTTCCACCTGCCTCTGCCCACCAGGACTAAAGGTGTGATGGTCGCTGCCACCCAGACCTTCCCTCCCACCCCACCCCCGGCCCCAAGACAGGGTTTCTCTGTAGCTTTGCAACCTGTCCTGGAACTAGCTCTGGAACTAGCTCTTGTAGACCAGGTTGGTCTCAAACTCACAGAGATCTACCGGCCTCTGCCTCCCGAGTGCTGGGACTAAAGGCATGCACCACCACCACCTGGCTTTTTTGTTTTTAAAGATTTATTTATTTATTATGTTTAGTGTCCTGTCTGCATGTTTGCGTGAAGGCCAGAAGAAGGCATCTCATTATAGATGGTTGTGAGCCACCACGTGGTGGCTGGGAATTGAACTCAAGAGCTCTGGAAGAGCAGTCAAATAAATGCTCTTAACCTCTGAGCCACTCTCCAGCCCTAGGTGGGTCCTCTGAAGCACGGTGACTCCACAAACAAGAACTAAGAGCGCTATAATGGCAGTATGTGCGAGAAAGATCAAACTTCTGAGAAACTCTTGATGCATACGCATCCATATTTACAAGGGAAAATGGAATTTTAAGTTATCTTTTTGCTAAGAATGAAAATGGAATCTGAATTAGAAGATCCACGCTCCAGTCTTCCTGGCATCTGAGTGAAGGCCTCAGATAACCTCTGTCCTCTCCTAAGATCAGTGCTTCAGAGGGATCGCAGGGAACTGGACGTATCATCAAGCCAGGAAATCAGTCATTCATTCAGCCAGTATTCACTGAGCAACTGTTGAGCCGAGTGCTGGGGGGGGGGGGCACCCCCTAAAAGGCCAGTCTTTCACGCAGATCTCAGTCTTTTTTTTTCTTTTTTTTAAGAAGAACAGGGTACAAGACAAAATGAAAATAAATGACACCCTTTTCTTTGTGTCTCTTTTCATTACCGTCGGGGGATGGAAAGAAGTTGGATCATGTTTCCTTGCCTGGCAAGAGAAGAAAGAAAATGTCTATGCCCGACCCTCCCCAACACACTCCCTTCTCCTCATCCTGTATTCACCAGAGACTTCTTGCTTTCTTTGACTATGTGCAAGAGTTCCAAAAACCATACTTGGTAGCTCTTCCAACAGGTGTTACAACATAAGGGAGGGGGGATCACTGCTCTCAAGAATAAATAGATCCTTATGGCAATGGCTCTCCCCACCTTTCTGGAGGCACTGGGTATGTGAGAAGTGTTCATCTTGCCCCCATAATCATAAGCAGGAACTTAAGGTACAGTCACTTCTTTATAAAACAAAATGCCTACTGAAATTCAGGGTTCAGACAGGCGTGGTGGCACATGACTTTTAATCCCAGCATTCAGGAAACAGAGGCAGGCGGATCTCTGTGAGTTCGAGGCCAGCCTGGGCTACAGAGTGAGTTCCAGGGCAGTCAAGGCTATGTCTATAGAGAAAGACAACTGTCTCAAAATAAATACCTGAATGAATTAACTAAGATTAATTCATTCAGGTTTCAGAACCCTTTTCCAACAAGAATCCTTTCTTTAACTGTCAAACAACTGCACCGTGCACAAGCTACACTAGATGGAATACACAGGCAACGGAGCTTCAAAATATACACCGTGAACTGCTCAACCCAGGAGGCGGCTCTTTCAACCCAGGTCTTCCGTACGTCAATGCTCAATAAACAATATTGTGAGATATATACAGACATGCACATACTCACAGTTAGATGACTATTACGTAAGTGAATGCATATAATCTGAACTGGCTAACTGTATATAATCCTAGAAAGAAATGCTGCTGCTGCTGGTGTGTGTGTTTTGGATGATGACCTTGATTGCTGATCTTCCTGCCTACACACACATTCTCTCTCTCTCTCTCTCTCTCTCTCACACACACACACACACACACACACACACTTTGGTGAGCCACCACCACCTAGATTATGCAGCGAGCACCAGGCAAGCTCTCTACCACCTGACCTACATCCCCGGGTCCACTGCTCCAACTTCTTTCAGGGCAGGGACGGATTCTCAAACTTAACTCCAACCACAGCATTCCAGCTGGCCCTTGGGGAGGAGAATCTCACACCTGTAGAATTCAAGAACCCTCTAGTTTTCTGGAAATTGCTAGTCATCTCAGGAACACACTTCACACTAGTACACAAGCGCTTTAGTGGAGGAGAAAATGCAGAGAGGTAAGGGAAATAAAGACCAACCATGAAGAGAAAAACAAGGCGGAGAAGGCAAAAAGAAAAGCATTTCTCTCTCTGACCCACAGGGGGTAGGCCGGGCAGGGGGAGCCTTAGACTTCCAAGTCATGCCTGCCATTAGCACATTCTAGTGGAAATAAAAGATAGTCCGGCTAAAACCCTGTAGCACCCACTCCAGTCCTTCCCTAGGGGATAAGCTGTTGGTAGGCATATGGGCACTTGACTTCACTCTTGCCCTTCCCCACCCTCCTTCTCCTTCCTCCCTTTAGCTCGGAAATTTAATAGACTAAAAAGACTAGAACTTCCAAATCTTAAAACCAAATTTTACTTCAGAAATTACTCTATTAAACTTAAAAGGGTTGGCAGGGACAACCTGGGCCAAAACCCCCACCATCACTGGGCCCCTCAACGATTGGTTTCTCTTGTTTTTCATTTCCAGAGCTCTAATAGAAACCTCCGGTGCGAGCCTGTTGTGTTTTAGGAGCAACAAGTTTGTTCCGTTGCTGTCTCTAAATCTGATGAGAGAGCATGGCCGGGCTAGCCAGGCTCCCTAGTGCGGCTTCCAGGGCCAGAAGGCCACGGGTTCAAGCGCCGACCTTACAAGTCGGGTCAAAGTGCCCCGTTTGGAAGACTTCTCTAAAAAAAATAAAATAAAATAATCACTGTGACGATCTGCGAAACTGGCACAAGTTCCCGTACTGCCTTTTCCCAAGCCACGCTTCCCACGGCACCCTTCCTCCAAAAAAGGAAGAAACCGGCGTAAAGCTCAGCCCTCTGGAGCTAAATCTACCTAGGACGTCCGCAGCACCCGCAAACTGGACCTGACGGGAAACGCGACCTAGACTTTAGCGAGCCCCGACGATCGCCACATTGCCCCACATGTTCCCCTTGCCCCACAGCTTGCCCACAGTGGGGGCTGCTCGGTGACCCCGGCCCATTGTGTGCCCTCAGGTCACTCATGGCCATCGAGCGGACTGCAGCCAGGACGGCGCGGGGACCCGGCCATTGCCCCTGAAGGGTTGCCGAAGGAGTCGTCCCGCAGCCCGCGTCCCCGAGCAGAGCGGCCCAGGCCATCTGGCTCCTCGCCCTTCCACCTCCTTCCCTCGCCGCGGGCGCCCCACGCCCACTGTACAGGCTTCCAGCACCTTTCAGGACCCGAAAGGGCAGAGGTCACCCTCTGCACCCCGCAAGCCCGCAGGCGAGCATCGACCAGCGCGGGGGCGGAGGGGGGGAGGGTTAGACACGTGGAGCCGGGACCCCGAGCAAGCCACTCACCGGCTGACCCGAACGGAACTTGCCCGGAGGCGCTCTCCTGAAGAAGGAGGTCCTGGCGGTGAAGAAAAAGTCCTCCGCGTCCTCCTCGAGGCTGCTGTAGCCGCTGCTCATGCTGCTGGTCCCAACGCGCGCAGGGGGCCTCCCCGGGGCGCAGGCGGCCAGGCCG